GGAATTCCATTACGGAAGCCCAAGCTAGGACAGCACTTCAGTATCATGACAGTAATATTCCTGTAGTGCTAAGTATTCATCTATAGATAAATTTCTGTAGACTGTCAAAACTATTTGGTAAATTTTTAAATGGAATCATTTGAACAATTTAAATTCAGATCTATATAAAAGCAGATACCAACATCATTATTAGACTTCATTTTATGGGCTATTCAGTCGCATAAGCTGTGAAGTTTTAAGTAATACATACTTCTTGGATTGTCTATTGTTTTATTCTGTATATAATCAGGAAGCATTTACAAGAATAGAAGAAGTCTATTGATATAATAATGTTAAAATCTGGGTTAATAATACTGCTAATATTTGGAAAGATATTTATTCCTCTTTTCTACCTTTTATAGTTACAAATTACTTCATGGAAGTTGCATTTTGTGATAACCAAACCAAATTAAAACTCATTTTCTGTATCCAGATCAGTGTACCTCACATAAATTCACCTTTGAAAATATCTTAAGCAAGGGCCAGGGATTTAGCTCAGTGGTTCTCCTGCCTGCCTTGCAAGCACAAGGTCCTGAGTTCAGTCCCCAGTCCCCACCCCCCCGCAAAAAAAATGAAAGAAAAATCTTAAGTTTTCAAACTTTGGACTCTGGATTTAGCTCAGTGGTTCTCCTGCCTGCCTTGCAAGCACAAGGTCCTGAGTTCAGTCCCCAGTACCCACCCCCCCCGCAAAAAAAAATGAAAGAAAAATCTTAAGTTTTCAAACTTTGGACTCAAGTGTTCAAACTTTTATATACATAAAAATTAAGGAGAACATAAAAATTTTTATTTACTTAGGTTATAGTGAAATTTACCATATTAAATATGAAAACAAAAGTTTAAAAATATTGGTTTATATTTATGCTATTAAAATAGAGCATCCTATGATACTGAAAGAGTAAGAGCATCCTGAATAACAGTTTTAGGGAAAAACATTTTAAAAACAAAACACTTCCTGAGAAGAAAAGTATTTTGCATTTTTGCAAAACTTGCACCTCTGCCTCTGCATTCAGTTTGTTATAATCTGTTGTTCTGGTTAAAGCAGATGAGGAAAATCACAACTTCACATGCATAGTTGACTGAAAAGGAGTATTTAATATTTTTAGGTAATTAAGGCTATCCCTCTTTGATTATCCACTAAAGCTAGACCAGTGGCGGTACCTAAGAATCAGTTGCATGGGGAATCTCAAACCATGTTAATGAATTTTCCATATTTTTTTACATCAAGTTTCACTGTAGGAAATGGATGCAGCTTGAGACCATAATGTGAAATGAAATGGACACACAAACCTAAATATCTCATGGTTTCTCTTATATAAGAAACCCACATAAAGTGCAAATAAAGTGCAAAATCAAAGATAGACAATAGCAAGGAGGAAGGGAATCAAGAGATGGAGTCTGTGGGAAAGGAGGGAAGGAGAAGGAGATGAAAAAAGAATTGAGTTGTGTTATGTACATGTACTAAATCCACTCAGGGAAGGTAAACGTTACATACTGCAGGTGTACTAATAAAAAAAACTGAGGGCTGGGGATTTAGCTCAGTGATGCCTGTGCCTGCCTTGCAAACACACAGGCCTGAGTTTGATCCCAGATACCGGGGGTGGGGGGACTGAAAAAAATCCATTGGTATATTTTTCACTTAGAATGATTTATCCACAGTGGTTGTGGAACATCATGCCTTTGTGACTTTGAGTGTTGATGAGTTATTAGCCTTTCACATGTCAACACATCTAGCTGTACAATTTAAAAATCTCCTTTGATGTTCTCGCTGATTTAGTGAAGGAGGTGCTTAGGTACACTGAATTGAGAGCTGAGCTAGCTGCTCTTTTGTAGCCCATTAATGCCCATTTCACTCGTAGTTATAATTATGCAATTTTAACAATATTGTGTAAATAAATGAAGCATGAGTTCAAAAAGAAAAAGAATTAGTGTTTCTAAGGCCAACTTCAATGCTTTGGAACAACTTACTTTAAAAATTGCTATCATGATTTAGTGTGAATGAGACTTGTAAAAGATAAAGGGAAAACTCTTTAAAAATCTGCATTCCTAAGCTCTGTGGTTCTGCTGCCTGCCTCGCAAGTGCAAGGACCTGAGTTCAATCCCTGGTGCCAAAACAAAACAAAAAAAACTGCATTCCTTCACAAGTATCTTTAGTTTCTTTCTGTGTTGTGGAGAAACCAAAGCTGGAAATTGTGATGATGTGCTGTATATATTCTTTGCGTGAAGAACAGAGAAGCTCCATCTGTAGATCCGTATACAGACAGCAGGCTCTGACTCACTTCAACAAATTATTGACTGTATATAAATAAATATATTTTAAGTTAAAGCAAAATTTATAAATTAATCTATTAGTTTTTGAAAAAAATGACTCCCTGCTTCACTGGCCTTTTCAGTGAATTGATAACCCCTGGTTCATGTCACTTTCAGTGTAGATACTTTCATGCTGCCACCTCTGGGTTAGGAGCAGATTGCTCTGCTCGTGACTATAAAATGTGTTCTCTTCCACTGTTGCACATTGTTTCTGAGGCTGGGTAAGATGTATCTGTAACAGATCTAGAAAACTTTTCAGGACTATAGCTATTACAGGTAAGCTTTTAGAATACTGTGATACACCTGAAGGTACCAGAAATATTTTTTTTACTGGTGCGTTAGTGTCTTGTTGAATTGGAAATTATATGTTGAAGCATAAAAATTTACATAAAACTTTTTGCACAGTGTTTCAAGAAGGTTGACTTTATATCAGATGTTCTGTATCCATAAAAAATAAACCCACCAGTTATTCAGCTGTGTGTGGTTTTAATAAGTGGAAGAAGTTCGTTGACAGCAGCTATGGCTAGGTGTATAGACCGTCATTTATGGATAATCAGGACATAGTGTAGTGACACAGGGCTGAGCATCTCTCTGTCTCACCACTTACCACAAGTCTGTGAAAAACATGTTCTCAGCTCCTAGCCAGGAGCATGCAGTTTGAGTTGTTTTCTTCCTCAGAAGTAGGGAATTAATTCACGTTCTCACTGTTGGCTTACAAGCAGTATGTATACACCAGCAAGTATATGACTTGCTTCTGTGACAAAATGCTTTAGAAACTCATCAGTCTTAGTCTTTTGAGTACCAGGCTGTATCACCAGGGCAGCTAACTGAACACGTAATTATTTCTAAATGAAAAGGTAGCTCTCCAGTTCCTGATTTCATAATGATCACAAGATCATTGTCAGTAGTATTGCCTGGTTTTATAGGTTTACCCCTTCATTTTTCCTTTCTTTCCAAAAGTATAGAAACTCCTTTATGTACCTTCCACTATCTTAGTGGAGTCTGGTTGTGCATACAACAGAGGAAAAACTGTCCTGTCCCTGTAGGAGTTAAATTCTAACAGGGCAGCAGTCCCCGGCTACTTCTTAGGTTTAGTCTAGGAGGGTTCCCTCCTGTGTACTGACCCTCCACGCACACACCCGTACTACAGCACAGGCCCTGTTAAAGGCTTGTCTCTTTTTATTAAAACAAATTCTAGTAAGGGATACCTGTGTAAATCCATAGACAGACACACACACACACATAGTAAGGAGATAGAAAAGCAAGGAAGGGGGTGAAATATTGTGGGAGGAGTTGCTGAAATTCTCACAAGGTGACAAGGGAAGGCCTCACTGAGATGGTATTACTGGTGTAAACCTCTAAAGAATAGAGTCTGGAGTAGGGACTCAGAATATTTTAAAACTATTCTGCACCTAGAGTGTATGGGGTTCATTTGGGGGAAATGCTGCATCTTAATTTTCACTAATTCTAACTAATACTTAGCATGTCTTCCAATCAGGAATAGAAATGAACAATTGCAGTAGTGTTGGGAAATACTGTTACACAGGTATTTCCCTATTGTATTACAGTTGTTACAAATATCTGACTACATGCCAGTCAGCATTTATAAGTTACGGTAGTTAGTATCCTCACTGTAAACAAATAATTAATATTCAATACTTAAAGCACCTACCTGCATTATTATTTTAAAAACATGTGTGTTGATAATTATATTTCAAAATATGGGATCTCCTCTTTTGCCTATGTTTAATGGATTTTAAAACATTCTGAGAAAGAGGATAAGGCAGGTAAGTCTTCACCGATTGCCAAAACGGAGGATGTTGAATTTAATCCCTGAGGGGTTTCGTCTGCTTCCTCAGGCAGTGTACTCTTTGTTTGTTTCCCTGTCTTAGAGATCTCTCAAAAACATCCTGAACAGATGAGCAGGGTTTTCTAGATAATTCTTTACAGTTCTGATTGTGAAAGATCCTTTTTTTTTTTGCTTCCTTTTTAATGCAGGCCACATACTACTAAAATACTTGTAGAATAGTGTAACTAGTCAAACAGATTTGGCTTCCTAAAAAATCACCTGGAAGATGTTTGAAGAACCTTAAAGAGTGTGCAGTTCATTTTATGGGAACGAATAAGGTAGAGGAATTCTGCGGTAGAATCAAATCCTGCTCACTCTCTTCAGCCTTTCGCCCTCTTCCCACCCGGGTGTTAAGCAGTAGGTCTGTCCTGATGGAGAGAACATGGACTGCAAACACCATGTTGCCCAGTGACAGGAAATGAGACTGATGTACATGTTATGCGCGTGAGGGGGAAGGCTGGGCTCTGGAGAGGTGCGGACTCCAGGAAATTTTGCCATTATGTGCTCTGTGCTCTAAATCTCTTTGAATATTTTCTACTGCTTTTCACCAAGAGTACAAAAATCAAAAGTAAAAATTCTTAAAGTCTTAAAGTTGCCAGAAGCGTAGGAGAGAAAAGTGTGAACTACTTTTCACAGGAGGTAGATTTTTGTGTGGGTCTAATGTGGAAGCTAGTCGGTTTGGTGTCATGTAGCCTGTTGGATTATGTCTTCATTTGTGCCCCAAAGTTCTGGAAATGGATGCGTCAGGCTGTTGGAAGCTGTGAGCCCTGGTGCAGTCACTGATACGGTCTGTTCATTTCTACAGGTTGGTGAAAGATGCTCCATGGGATGAAGTCCCGCTTGCTCACTCCCTGGTGGGTTTTGCCACCGCCTATGACTTCTTGTACAACTACCTGAGCAGGATGCAGCAGGAGAGGTTTCTTGAAGTGATTGCCAATGCCTCGGGATATATGTATGAAACATCCTACAGGAGAGGATGGGGCTTTCAGTACCTGCACAATCATCAGCCCACCAACTGCATGGCTCTGCTCACGGGAAGTCTTGTTCTGATGAACCAAGGTGCGTGTGATCAGTCACATCCAGGCCAAGGCAGCGCCCAAGCCAACACCGGTCAGAGCGTCTGCATTGTGAGCTCAGTGTTTTGTGACTGTCCCTAGGTACATGTGATGCTGGATCCTAACTGAGCCCTGTGGTGAAGCCATGCCCGGGGGTTACTTTGCTAATTAAGGAGTATCCCTTTCTTAATTTCCTCTCCTTAGATTAGCCCAAAGTTGACTTAATTATGGCCTAGATGATCCAGGCCATCTTCTTACAGCATAGTCAGTGATGAGTATTTATTTTTCTAGAGAATTTCTCTATGAAAACAACCAGCCTGGACTATGAGAAATGCAAAATACAAATAAAGAGCAAAATGAAAGATGGATAATAGGAAGTAGGAAAATAGATCTTTTACAAAAGAGAAGGGGACCAAGAGATAAAAGGAGTGAGAAAGAAGGGGAAGGAAAGGGAATGAAAAAGAATTAAGATGTACTCTGTACATGAACCAACTCCCCACGAGGAATGTATTTATAATAAAAATTGAAAAAAAGCTAAACGGGTGGTTTGTTGTTTGAAAAGAATATTCTTAGCACACAAATAGGAATTACAACACTACTATTCTTTTTTTTCTTTAAAGACTTAAAACAACCAGGCTAGATCATTGAAGTCAAAATGATCTTTCATGGATAATATAGCAACTTTGCATCAACACACTTCATAATTGTCATTGTTGCTCTCTTTTTTCTTGTAATTCTAACTTAATTATAACTTCTGTGGGAATATATAAATGACTAAGGTATTTAAGAAAAGCAGCTCTAAGATCACAGTGGACAGCTGGGGATGTAGATCAGCTGCACAGCGCCTGCTTGGCAATTGCGTGGTCCTGAGTTCAAGCCCTATATTTGCCCTCCAAAACAAGATCACAATGAATTATTAGAATATTAAATACATAATTGGAGTTGGAAAATCTAAAAGTAGGTAACTCTTGTTTATATCTCCATAAAATTAATCAGCATTTTATAGATTATTCAAGAACAGATTTTACTCAGGTCTAACTTTGTCCTTTGTCATATCAGACACCATTTCTAATAAAATCTTCAAGGAAAATGTCAGTTAACAATATCAGTACCTTATTGACAGTACCTTATTTGAAGTTTACAAAGTCTTTCCAGTAGACATTACTGAAACAGGGTGCTAAAAAGAAACAAGGAAAACCAGGTAGTGCGACATCCAGGAAACAGCAGCATCAGTTTCACCAGGATCTGGCTGGAAAGGGAGGACATGGAGAGGAAAAACCAGATGACTGACATTTGAAACCCAAAGGACAGAAGATGGAAATGGAAAACCAGGAACAAGACCAACCATGTCCAGCGCAGAATAGGGTGGCAGAAGGAGCCCAAGTGCAGTAAGAGTCACCTCTGTAAAGCCACACCAAGAACGCGGCTGTCTCCATGAGCCAGGGTGGGGTCTCAGGCAGGGACCTGGTTTTAGGCCCAGAGCTGGTGGTCCCTGGGGCCATAGGATCCCTACAATCTGTACACCACATGGGCTCTGGTAGAGCGGCAACAGTGAGGCTATACACATTTATGGGAGTAAAGCCATAAGGCTCTACCAGATTAGGAGTCAGTTTCATTTTATTCCCAGGCATTGGATGTTTTAAAAACCATCAAACCAAACAGCAAAACCTTAAATCTAGAGCCCTAGGTTTAGATCAGGGTTCTGTTCCTTTCCAGTAATATGCCAAATCAATCTGTACTTTGGGGGGGTAACAAAGCATAATCAGGTTGTTAAAAGATTAACATTCTATTCAGTGCTGTGAGAATTATGAATGTTACAGAAATGTGAGTTGTTTCTATTGCCTAAATGCCTGAATATCTCACTCCAAAAGATTTCATCAAACTTTGTAGACTTTAAAATTTTCTGTAGGGAGATTAAAAAGTGTGACCAGTTGGAGAAGCACGTGAATGAAATCACATAGCTCAGTTTTTGGCAGACTCAGGACTCCTGGCTGAGTGTTTTCACTGTTCCATTTCAGTGGGTTGTCAGCCCACTATATACTGCCTTTTCCAACCCTGTAGAATCTCAGCATAAAAACATGAAAGGTACAATGACAATGCAAATCAAATACTGTCTGCGTAGCACTTAGAGTATTTTCTAGCTTATTACAAACCCTACAAAACATCAGTGAAAGTTTTACAAAGTGATACACTTCAAAAAGAATTTTCAAGAAGATTTTAGGAAAAATGAATAGGAGCCTCAAGGAACAAACTTGTCTTACAAAATTACCTTCAGTTTGTAATCTTACAGATGGTACAGATTTTAAAGAGTGGAGAACGACTTTTATTACCATTTAATTAATAAGTAACCTGTATACAGAAGCATCTTAATTTATATCAAGGACTCAGCTATTGACCTCTATTAATGAGATATCATTTATAATGTTAACAAGCAAGAGTCTTACAAAACGGAATTTGTAGTAATATAAACTGATCAGATACTGTAGTGGGCTTTGCTTAGCCGAGTTGCTGTTTGTGCCTTTAGTCACTGTTTGTACTTGTTTTACTTTCCAGGATATCTCCAGGAGGCATACTTGTGGACCAAACAAGTTCTGACCATCATGGAGAAATCTCTCGTCTTGCTCCGGGAGGTGACTGATGGCTCCCTCTATGAAGGGGTGGCCTATGGCAGCTATACCACCAGATCTCTGTTTCAGTATCTGTTCCTTGTGCAGAGGCACTTTGGCATCAACCACTTTGGCCATCCTTGGCTTAAACGACACTTTGCCTTTATGTACAGAACCATCTTGCCAGGTATAGTAAGGATGCAGAAGTGGGAAAGTATTACACAATTATAAATTTTTAAATTATGAAAATGAGGTCTGTGAGGTTTGTCATACTGGATTTAAAGATATTATATATATATAAATATATATATATATATATAAAATCTCAAAGGAAAATTGAATTCGAGAGCTACATATAGCTGGAACATTTTGGAAACTAACATGAAGAATTGTGATTTGGGTATTATGAAGCTTGGAACATAATCAAATATAATTTCTTTTTTTCTTTTTGGTATTGGGGATCGAACTCAGGATCTTGTGCTTGTGAGGCAGGCGGTGGCACCACTGAGCTAAATCCCTGGCCCTGAAATATAATTTCTATCCCCCACAATACTTTTTTTAATATGTGTGTGTGTATATGTGTGTGTGTGTGTGTGTGTGTGTGTAAGTACATATATATAAAACCTTAATGCTAATATAGAATATATAATATGAATTACTATATATGTACATATACACATATAATTAATGTTTTATGTACAATATAAGATGTATAATATATATACTTTCAATATAAACATAAAGGCTCATAAACTTACTTTATTAATTTAAATAAAGTATAAACATTAATAGTTATTTTTCAATTTTCCTTTTTCTGTGATCCCTGATCAGTCCTATTGTAATTTTTAATTTTTTAAATTAAATTTAAATTTGTTTAATTTTGTTTCCAAACACTGCTGAAATGATTCAAAAAATGAAAGGTTATATGTATGTATTTTAGTGTTTTCTTTAAATATTTGATTGAAATAGTATAGAATATGAAAACAAAAAACACAGTTGCTATAAAACTTCTAATTTGTGTTGCTGTGTAGTTTAGCTTTCTGAAAGAACTAGATTTAATAATTTATTCATTTCTAGGAAAGAAACTTTCCTCATTTCTGAAATAGAACAGATATTAGAAAAGGTTAGAAAGTAAATTTCTATCAGGATGGATTTTTCCCTCAGGAAATACAATTATTATTTGATCATTCTAGACCTACAACAAAGAATCCAGTATTTTAAATCTTTTTGCTCTATACATGGATTAGATAGAATTTCCTGTATTAGATTAGTTGTAAAAAGTACTGCTGAGCAAATTTTTAAGATTCAGTTTAGGGTTACATTAAGAACCACATTACTATATTGCTTGTTAGACATGCAGAAGTCTTTCTTGCAAGTTCATCTTGATAAACAAAGGCTGTACCTTTAAATCAAGGGAGCTTGGGCTGGGGATTTGGCTCAGTGGTTCTGCTGCCTGCTTCACAAGCACAAGGGCTTGAGTTTGATCCCCAGTACCAAAAAATAAAAATAAATAAATAAATAAAGCAAGGGAGTTTCCTAGTTCCTAGCACTTGGTAATTTGAGCTAAGGCGTAAGAGCCACCTGAGGGGCTGGGTCAGCTAGGAACTGTGTGTGGGCTCCTTCCTAAACTGGAACAGCATTCGGAGCACCTTTAGGGAGAGCCTTTACAAGGCTATTGTGCATAAAAGTTCAGCCAACTTCTGAACATCTTTAAGACAGGTATCATAGAAGGCAGGGGATTTAAAGAGAAATAAAACATCCTCTGCTTTCAAGGAAACTCACAGACTGAAATGTGATTTTTGGAATATCACATTTTATAAGACAACTTGGAAGAGCACTTACTAAACTGTTAGAAAGTGAAATCATTAATTTAAATGTGAATACAATCATGGTATCATTTTAGAAGAAATTCTCTGTTTTGTCAATCTTTTTTCAACTGCATTCTTTATTTTTATTTATTAATTTTTTTCTCCATTTGATGTTCTGCTAACGATTATTTCTGTCTGGCCCAGAGTTTGCTTCCATCCTTCCTTTTAAAGAGTAACTGGAGCATATCCAGTCTTTCTTGTTTTTCTTGCTTATTCCATTGATGATACCTGACTTTATGATCCCTGCATTTTCTTTAACTTCCACCAGTACATGCTGCCGGACTCTGTTTTGGGAATTATGTTTTTATCTGGAACTTGATACACCAGATAACATCCACTTTCTTGGAGGCTGCATGGGAGCAACATTTATTGTCTTGGCCTGCAGTGCAAGTTGAGCTGGGGGAGAGCTGGTACGCATTGCAGGCTCAGGACCTTATTGACCCAAAAATGTCTAAGCATAGATGCACACATGGTCATCCTAGCATGCACACTGGAAAATGAGGAAGGAGGGCAATGTGCATACACGTTGATAGGCATGGCATGTTTGTTACCAGTAACAAGTTGCCATATCACAAATACAAACTTCCCAGCAAGATTTGTGGAAGACTTTCAGGGGAATTATGATTAATGGCATGGATAGAATGTGGACATTGTGGTTTTATTTACATTTATCCAGGTACCCAATTGATTATAGTTTGCAAGTTGGTTGGAAATCTTGTGTAGATCTTTATAGGAGTAGATAGTTTTAGACATGTCAATTCTTTCCAACTTCTTTCTCCAGGGTTTCAGAGAACTGTGGCTATTGCAGACTCCAACTACAACTGGTTTTACGGTCCAGAAAGCCAGTTAGTGTTCCTGGATAAATTCGTCATGCGTAATGGCAGTGGAAACTGGCTGGCTGACCAGATCAGAAGGAACCGTGTGGTGGAAGGTCCAGGAACCCCATCCAAAGGGCAGCGCTGGTGCACTCTGCACACGGAGTTCCTCTGGTATGACACAGTGGGCGGGCTTCATAGGGAACTGGTACCTGGGGTATTGTCTGTGCTGTGCACTACCTTTTTTGTATTTAAAAAGAAAAACCAGGCTGAAGCCTTTTAAATCCCTTCCCTTATCACTTATATGTGTATAGCTTCTGTTTCACTTAGCACAGTGTGTGAACCTCTGCTCAAAACATCTCTTTGCATTTCAGATCTAATTGCGGCCAGGCATGGTGGCACACGCCTGTAATCCCAGCACTTGGGA